AGGAAAAAATATATTTGTGCGATGAGGTGTATTAGAAAATTCAAGGAACGTCTGGCTTCTCCTCACGGTGACAACAGCCAACAGATGCTTTGAAAATTTATTCTTTTGTTAGAAAATAGAAAGACCACGTTATTAATCAACTTCTTTCCAAATCAAATTTTAATGCACTTACAGCTCTTAACAAAATGCACCAGTTAAAAAGGCAAAAAAAACAGACAGAAAAGTGAATTACACGCTCGATTTTGGCGACTAGAACGGTTGCTATATTTTAGACGATGGAGATATTTGTAAATGTTACGCTTCGTCTTCCATGACCAAAATGACTTAAAGTGAATGGAAGGCCTGAAGAAAGTACTGTGTTGACATATTTCAGAGAAAAAAAGCAAATACACAGGTAAGAATGCATATTATGCAGAAAATCTAACATTGTCTGTACACTCATGAACAGACAGCCAAACGCCACGTCTGGCAGTAAATTCGTCAAATTGGATCCCGGTTCTGCACACAGTGACACGACGAATACAATCAAAACGGCTAAACTTAATAAAGTCGAATGATATAATTGTGACGATTTTCATTCACAGCGCCAGTAGGTGTAGTGAAAATACCTCCAATCGAATGTTCGGTATTTGGATGCTGAGGAAGACAGGTATATGTCTCTTCTCACAATGACTTCATCCCGCGCACTACTTACATGCAATGCTTATCATGTTCACTAGGCCGTCGGAGGCCAATCGTTTGTGATTCCAGCGCTGCCTGGGTAATGATTGAAGCGACACTGTTCATTGACAAGCACACAAGTTATCTCGTGTGAGTTTGTTCAGTTTGGATTAACGCATGAAGCCAATATTTTGACACACTCACACAAAAAAGTGAGAGATTTTTGGAGGAAGTGTCAGGTAGCACCCAGGTGGTGCTAAATACACCGCTCGTCTGTTCACGCTGGTTGAACGGCAACGGTTCCGAATACAAGGCTTTGAATCGAGCCCATCGGTTTAATCAGAAACACACGATGGTGTCTTCCATTGTGCAAACAGTCAGAAAAGGCCCAAACCATTGTCGGCATCAACGAAATAACAAAGAATCTACTGCATTTTCACTTCTTCCTCGGCTGCGTGAAGCAGCAGTTACGCATCACACCTTCAAGATATTTCGCACCTCACTTTATTTCGCATGATCCGATAACGCGAAATTCGAACCCAACCACGAGCAAGCTACACAGACCTCGTTTAAATGCATATCATTAATCGGGAATTAGTCAACATGATGGATGCCAAGCACATCGCTGAGTCGTTAGGGGTGGAGATGGAATTTCGAATGACCCTGTCACCAAGTCCCTCTTCTACTCCACTTGATTCGCCGAACCAAACCTTCGGAGAAACCGTCTTACCTCATGATATGTGTCAGGCAGAAATTGACGCTGATGTTATGTCTGACACCGACGCTAGACACACAACCTCTCACCCACCATTGCGCGATGCCCAGGCGGATCTTTCGACACAAATTACGCCTGAAATGAAAGCGCAGCCCCAAGAGACCAGAAGATGGAGGTGGACGATAAAGAAAGCGCAGAAGAGGACGAAAGCATGGAATCAATTGGAACAAATGGAGAAATGGAAGGCCACTTGTCGACAACCAAACAGAAGAGGATGCGCCGCCAATTTTATCGTGAATAAAATTATTAATCTCTTCATGAATAGCGTTATAATTTGGGTTGGGTGGACTGACGTGGACTTGTCGGTGGTGGTGCAGGTGGTAATTCAGGTAGATGAATGTTTTAGTGAAAGTGGAAGTGGCGATGCGTGAGAACCAGGCGTCCTCCTCGCCACTGCTTACACTGGCTGGTGTTTCGACGACCACGACGACATCTCGGTTGTGCTGACATTGGAGCTGCTCCGGCTCCTTCATTCACACTCGAGCTAGTACTACTACCAAGCATGGACAAACTCAGGCGCATTAATATGGCAGATCTTAGAGGAACTTCCGCGCTCATTCGCACACAAGATGACCTGGATGGCTTGAGATCGTGTAGGCGCTCTTTTTTTCGCTTTTCGTCGTGGGTCATTACATGCTACTAAGTGGCGTGCAAATTGCATCGAATGTGTCGGTTTCATCGCCTGAGTACACATTTGTGGCACTAACTACATTGCCACCACATCCACTGCAACGTAGGTAATTAAAATGACGGTATCACAAACCATTAGTCGGACAATCGACTGAATATGAATGGATTCGCATTATTTTAACTGCACAATTTTGGTTCATTGAATGTCCATGTCATCGAATCGTGCGAAATAAACTGAGGCGCGAAATATCTTGAAGGTGTGGTGTGTTGCTGCTGCTTCACGCAGCCGAGGAAGAAGTGAAAATGCAGTAGATTCTTTGTTATTTCGTTGATGCAGACAGTTGTTTGGGCCCTTTCTGACTGTTTGTACAGTGGAAGACACAGCATCGTGTCTTTCCGATTGAACAGATGGGCTCGATTCAAAGCCTTGTATTTGGAACCGTTACAGTTCAACCAGCGTGAACTCACGAGCGATATATTTAGCACCATCTGGGTGCTAGCTGACACTTTCTCCAAACAACTCTCACGTTTTTGTTTGTGTCAAAATATTGGCGTCATGCGTTAATCCAAACTGAACCAACTCACACGAGGTAACTTGTGTGTCTATGTAGCTGGGCAATGAATAGACAGTTTTAGTGTCACTTCAATCGTTACCCACGGTGGTTGACTAACAACACTGGAATCGCAAACGACTGGACTTCGAGTTCCAACTAAATATGAATGTTTTTTCCTGAGTAGTCTCAACCAATGGCTGAGTGATTTGTCATTTTTAACACCTATCTAAGTTTGCGGTGGCCTTAATCCCAGTTTGACTGATAAGGCTGTCATTAGACTGCCATGGATGAGAGTGTTTGAAATAAGGCTTAAAGAAAAAGCTATAAAAAAGGTGGCAATGTGCCATCTTGTGGAATCCTGGATCCCCAATATGGTTCTGACAATTTAAATTAATTACTGCTTTCAAATTAACTTGATTTTTTTTAAATGTGGCAAAATCATAGAGTCATACGTTATAATTTTCCAAAAAATACCACTTGCACGAAATTTGTGGGCAGGGTACTACTCGGTGTCTGCAAAATTTAGCGATCGCATGATCAATTTTAATGGAGATGCATGTAGGTGCTTTGGGTGATTCGTTTAACTTTAAATCGTTGTCTTCTTTTTGTTTTTTTTTCGCAATCGCGATTGAAGTCACTTCTTATTTCACAATCGTAAGTTCGAGCCGCAAATTTGCTTTTGAACCGCGCTTTAATGTTTGTCTACTGCTACACAGTCATTTTGGCTTTTGGATATCTTACTTCTTTGTGACCGAAGACAGGTTAACGCAGATGTCCGAATTTTTACATGGCTTGCATGTTGAACGTCATCTGACCATATTTTGCAATCCATTACATACTCCTCCGTTGGCTTGGATCAAGGGACTTACAGGCGCATATTTTGTAAAAATGCGGTGCAGTAACCCTGCTGAGCGTTTTGTAACTTTCTTGCATGCAATAATGTCCGAATCGCTTGAGATAGTTCGTTGCCAGTGAAGGAAGTACCCTCTAGTGACGTTGGTGTTATGGGCCTTTAAATTACAGGTCACCTGAAACTTAATATCCAGAAAGGCATTGTCAATAATAAGCTAATTTGTAGTAATGCGGAGCTGATTGTTGAGTGTACGCAACTCGTGATTAAGTGAATTCCCGACAGCCCTCTGGGCAGACTCCTCAACGTTTGCGAGGCAGTTCTATGTCTTCATTTTTGAGGTTTCCTGATCTCTCACGTGTCAGCATAATAGGTGTGGCGGGCACTGACGTCTTAGCTTAAGTGACACACGTACACGGATAACTTAAGCCTACATTTAAAGGCATTTTGCCAAACAAATTTTAGTTATGTCACAAAACGTTTGAATGCGATTTCAACCATGCACACGAATGCGGTCAACCAGAGCGTGTAGGTAAATTTGGTTGGAACTAATGACGCATTGCACCTCACAAATGCCTCGCCACTATGTCTTATATGCGCTCGTTATGAAGGTAAATGCTGTGGTTCCTTAAACATCCATTCGCAAATTTAAGGGCGGAAAACACAGTCATCGATTGAGGATTGCTCTGCAATCATGACTGTGTATTATTGATGTCAACTGATAGTTTACGCATAAAAGATGAATCAGTGTTATTGATTCTGGTTAGCGTGCAGACACGATATGCAATGCGTGGAATAAGTTGTATTGTGATATTATTCTAAATGATGTAACACTGCTTATAGCAAAAAAACGTTTCCAAGCTTAGAGCATTCAAAAGAAAGCTTAGTTCTCTGGCTCACTAAAAGTCACTGAAATGTGACAGAAATTGGCACAATTTTTACAGAGAAAACATAAATATTGGGACTGGAGAAGGATACTTTACAAACTTAATAGTGTTCGATATATGTTTGATGTACTGTGCTACGAAAATGCAGAATCGATGCCTCTCAGTTGGTCGCAAACTGACAGTAATTGATGTTTAACATCAATATTCTGTTGGAATTAAAAAAAATATCTTGCAAATAGCCAAGTGGATGTTATCGGTCCCAAAGTTCTTTTTCACTACAGAACCAGTCTTTGCAAACGAAGTGGATTTTCCCTTTCTTATAGCAGGTAGCATCAGAATCTCCAATTATGCAGTGTGATTACGCCTTAGGTATGGTTGTGTGGTTTACTACTTTGGAAATTACAAACAATCTACTCACCAATTTCTTATTATCTTGTATTTACTGAATCTCGGCAATTCATAACCAATGAAACAGAAGAATAGAGGAGCTGTGATGTGGTACCTTGATGCACAACTCAAACTCACTGGAAAAAAGCCAGCCAACAATGCGACAGACTTCTTGCATTCCCTCCACATCACTAATTTTGCCAGCCTGCATTCAGGTGCACATTTAGTGCACGCGTTAATAGGACACAAATTTCGGATTACTAGACTCTTGTTGACATGTTTTGTTCTTCTGTCTCCCACATTAGCACGTCAAAACGCATCTTAGCCCGACTCGACAGTTACCCGCTCAAATAATATTGCAGTCATCTAGATGGTGATAATTGGAGAGCTCGTCCACTCACGAGGTTTAAACTTCGACGGCGGTAGATATAATTTATCGGTTCAAGCCTATTTGTTCAATAAAAAACACTAACCAAGCTGTGTCTTTTATTACACAAGTGATTATAACTGGGTTGACTAAGCAATAACCTCAAGCGTCAACTAAATGTGTTGACTGCTCATACTGTTTAGAATGCCAATTCATTTGGAAAATTAATAAAACCACCTATTACTTGCTGCTAGAGATAACATCACCAAGGACCTGGATGTGGTTGCTAGTGAAAAAATCTACGCAGCCCAGGTTTATGGTTGTTTTGTCATTTTCACTTCAAATATGGACATTATTCGTTAAAATTGCATCATTAAGTGGTGCAGTAAAACACACTTGAGCTGATGATCGTCCCATTAAGCGATGCGCACATTTTCGCTTTTGAAATACTGACTTAATGGGCTGTTCCACATTCAAATTATTCAGAGTACACATAAACTAGCGCCTCATGTTGTCGTCTGCATAAGCGAGCTTAAGTTGTCTTCAAGTTGTCGCTGAAGTCCAGTTTTCGAAATTGGGCTTGATGGACATAACTAAACTGGCAGCCCCTTAACTCACAGACACTGAATTCCACGCTTCAATATTGCAATCAGCCAGCCAATACAAGTAAATTGAGTCTACGAAACGTATATCTGCACAAAAATATCTCCTTACCACGCACTTATTAAATTGTGCGGTCATACTGGAGTATCAGTGAACGGCCTTAATTAAAACTAACTACTTAAATCTAAAGATAAACCCCATTAGTTGATTAGATATTTGGCATGAAGAGGCATTTAGTTCAAATAAACCATCTTCACTTCAAAATCGCTGTGATAAAATGCCCAGAAGAAGTCCAGTATAATGAGACAAGACCAATCAACCAATCACCGCCTAAGTATTCCATGCATGATTGTTGTGATGAACAGTAGACTCAAAATTCAAGTATTGGCTTGTAAACCCCTAGAGAAGGAACTTGTCAGCATTAACGAAGTCGATATTCTAAAATATTCTGTCTCTATTCTCGCACCCGTAAAAGCACAGTTATATTTATACGCCTTTAACATATGTCGCACCTCAGTTATATTCGCACATTATCCACTGCCACGGAATCCAGCGCAATACGAACAATGCTAGCTTGTGACCAATCACATGCCAGCTGCACAAACCTTTTAAGACTACGCATCGTTAATCGGGAATCAGTCAGCATGACAGAGGCAGAGCTTACAGCCGAAGAGTTAGAGGTGAAGATTGAGTTTTTTTCAATTCTCACGCCATTAATGACATCAACTCCCGATTCTTCTCCGGATAAGACTATAGGAGAGTCGACATTACGTTTTGGTGTGCGCATAAATGAGAGTGACACGGAGTTATTGTCTGAGAGCGACACAAGTCCCCCCACTTCTCCCCATACGCACACTGCCCCAGAGGCCGCTTCGTCAAGTGTGCCAGAAATTCAAAAGCGCATGAATGCAGAAAAAGCAGCCACAGAACAGAATGGGGATACCGTTGATGAAAAATTAGTGGAATTGAACGGGAGAGAAAAATCAAAACCCAAGCTTAAAAGGATACGTAGCCAATTATTTCGTAAATAAAATTATTTTTGTCATGAATGGCATGGTAATTTGGGCCCGGGTGACTGACGTAGACTTGTTAG